AAGCGAGCGATTCCCACATTTCTCTTTTTGTTCAGGCCTTGATAGAAATTAATTTCCCTGCCCGCCATCGTAGTGCCGTAACCTGACCATGGCCTTCTCACTGCCATTCCCTCGAACATCCATGCCCCATTGCCTTCCGATTAACTTTTGAGCGGGCAGGCTCTTGTAAAGCTTATTTCAGGCTCATGCTTCTGTCGAAAAAGCAGCAGCGTTTTGTGGAGTGAAATTTCGCAAATTGAGAACGATCCTTGATCCTGTTTTGAAGAATTACTCGGTAACAAAAGAAACGTTGGAGACGGCGATACGGGTATTTTTGCTCTTAATCGTGGTCAAAATTGTGCAATATTGAACATCACCATTTCGGGCGCAGTTCGGCTCAGTGGGGCAACAAGTGGTATCCAGTACGGTCTTCGAGAGGGAAGTCTGAACAGGCCATGCTCTAAACCTGTACAATCTTAGAAACAAAATAGCCCGTTTCACAACTTTGCAACTTTACGAGAGTTTACAGATCTCGCCGGAAAAGAACTGCTCATTTATATGAAGCAGAGAGAGGAAAAATTGAAAGGGCAAACTGCCCCTTCAGCCGGATAGCGCCCCACTTTTATACTCGAAATCCCTGAGATCGGGTAGGCGTGGCCGCATGTTTCAACTTAACCTGAAGGTGTCTATGCTTCTGGTGAGATATTTTCATCTTGACACAATTGTTGTCGTGTCTCTGTCCAACAGAGAACAAGATGACAGTTGTCCCAGACTGGAATATTCCACGAGTAACCAGTTCCGTGCCATGTTCAAATGCCACGCCTACTCTGGCTCAGGGATAAGGAGTGTACCCATACTGATTATCGCTGGCGTTCTCCTTCGTTCCGTATGCTACGAGCCCTCTGTAGGTGATCACCTTCAGCAACCACTCGTGGAGGGCTCCAAGGGTTTAGATCAGGTTAAGGTCTCATAGATGTGTTTCTTTGGGCCTTCTCTTGTCCCTCTCTCCTCAATTTCACAGAGAACTGCTTTTTGAAGCGATTTGAACGATTTCTTCACGATAAAAGCACACGCTCTGACGGTTATATCGCGTCTTGTCCCCAATAATTTTCAGACTTCTGAAACAGCCTAGTGTTTACAACTGCCTTCAAGGGCTAGTGACAAGAAGTTTTGTCTATTTTTTCCAGGAAGACCGTGCTCGAGGACTTATTCCATTTTTCATGCTTGCCACTCTGGGTACAACGGCACGTTGTTCGCCGTCGCACTCGCTTGCGCAAGATATCTGGGTCCGATTATGTAAACAGAGAGCATCTATCTACCACGCCGATTGTTGTTATTGTCAGGTGGAGCTCGTTCCTGCAGATAACCAGCCATTTCAGTCTCCAAAAAAGCGACGGGTACTTACGCAGTCTACGGGAATCGGATGCTAGGATCAATGGGCGGAGACTCATATTCACGTGCTTTCTCCAGCTCCTCCATTCTTTAGCATATTGAAAGAGGAGTTCATCAATAATGAAATAATTCCACCAAACTATTACCTCCACCCATAGCTCTGACTGTCTTTAAATCCACAGCGGGCATCTAGCCCGATTTTGAGCGCAAAATGACTCTCTGTTTCTTGCCGTTACTCATCTCAGCTTGTTACTGTCTGTACACTCTTACGTGGCTCTGGTAGCAGTTTATTGACCTCGAACGCATGAGCTGTTATTTTTTACCCCAAGGCCGGTTTCGCCAGCGCTTTGGCATAGCGGTCCATTCCTCGCTAACGGATGACGGCTTCGCTAGTCTGATGTTTCCATTTGTCGTGTTCAAGGGTGTTCTTTTCAGGGAGTTTTCTTGCGTGCCCCGAGTTCCGCTATTTATCAAAAGGAGTGGAGTATGCAGATTCATTTAATTTCAATGGGCATAAGGAATTCCAGGCGCTCTTTTTCTCTCCTCTTGCCTAATGTGAGTAAAGAATAGTTAAAAAATACATGCACTAAACAGTCCAGATTAGGGTGTAGTCCCTAGACACAAGTATAGAATGTCACTGAATTCTGCAAAATCAAAATTCCATTCATTAAGGTTCAAAGACGGTGTCACTGCAGCGAAATATTTTACTATCGGTAAAGAAGTTCAGAAGAATGGCGTAAGAACTTCACCGCCTTGTATCGGTAGGATCAAAGTCCAGTTTCATAATCTGCTCTATTGTTTGGTCCAATCTACTCCCAGCAACTGTATAGCAAATAGCCAATCATCCCATTGCAAAGGGATAGGGCACATCGTTGTTGGGGAATCCCCAATAGGGGGAGGGGTCGTATTTGGGCTGGGAAAAATTTATTTTGATAGTTGATTTTTTTCTCGCTTCACGGAACTCCTTGTAGAACCGGGCAGGCGGCGGCGGAGGTCGTATTTAGTTTTTTGGCCTTCTAGAAAAAGATGGTTTACTTCTCGCTGATGTTACCTGCTTTCATGCGTAGTATTATTATACTATACCCCCCCCCCCCCGCGGTCGACAGCAAAATGTTTGGGGGAAAAGTAGGGAACTTTTCGGGAAATGTTGGAAAAAAGTGGCAGGAAGTTGGGGAAAATCTGAAAATTGGTAGAGGGGGGGTCGTGTACTTTTGTCTCGCGGATTTTCCCTGTCTCACATGCTGCCTATGATACACACGCACCCCCCCCCTCCTGATCCTCCTGCCCTCATCCCCTCCCCGATCGTCTGCTCGATTTCGATGACGAGGGGCAGAAGGGCCGCAGGAGGAGGGTTCGTAACAATTGCGCCAAAAAAAAGGGGGGGGATCGTGACAGACTCGGTGGACTCAACAGTCCAACCAATGATGTTGCCCTGGGAGGGGATGGGAAACATGCGAGCTGCCAACAGGCCGCTGCGAATGGCGTCTTTGCGCTGCGTTTGCACTAGGACCTAAATAATTTGACGCGACAGTGCTGCCAGCAAGCCTAGTTACTAAGGAAATGCTACACGCGCCATGTTTGTTTCTGCGTGTCGCCCATCTTTGTCTGATCTACTGACCTGGGATAAGATGTAGAGGCATAAAACAATCATACTTAGGCTTTCAAGTAGGTACATGCGTCGCGCCGCTACGCGGGTGCATACTGCAACTGGGTTCACACGAAAATTGGTCGAGACTGTGTGCACTGTCTAAGACCGGAAGCCGTATGTTTCCTATGCTGCATAGTATTGAACACGGCTTCTTAGGCTGGATCTCGGAACACGGCCCAACAAATCTAGATGGCCTTTTGACAAAAATATCAACATGGTGGTGATAAAAGACGACTTAGCGTTGGCGCACTCCATAAAAACACGGCCGACTAGTCACCTTAAGCCTAAGACTTTTATGGCCTTATTTTGATGAGAACTTTGACCCAAACATTCAGTAAAAATTCGTGGATGTTTACCTTAGCATCTCTGCCTCATGTTTCAGCATCTACGGGGGTCTGTTTACCAGCGGGACGACGTGCCAATGCTATCAAAATATACTTTGTATTGAGAAGCCTAGGTTACGGACACATCCAAAAAGAGTTGAGAAAGGTAAGAACATAATTTCCGTTAAATTATAACTAAGTTAAACTCCCTCCTCTGACAAAGGAGTCCACTTTTCAGCACGTCGAATTAGGCCGCATTATTCGCACGGCTAGTTACGGATGATGACGACTTCGAACTATTTGTTCCACAGCATCTTGGACTAGTGTGCTTCAGAATCAAGAACGTGGGTCTGGACGTTGACCACACTCTGGTTTACTGCGGCTAGAACTGCAGTTGCCAGAACATAAAAACAAGCAAGAATACTCGCCCAATATTTAGGGTACCAACGCGGAAAACAGAGCTCTATGTCGTGCCATAAATGACGACCGCCGAATTCATCTCGTACCAGGCGAAGTGAGTTCTGAGCAACTTCTCTTACATCGGAAAATCCTCGGCATTTCACGATGCTCACTTGAAGTTCTGAGGGCTGAGCTTTCCAACTCAACTGTCGATGTTCTGAGGTTTTTGAGGGGCGACGTCTCTTAAAGAACGGTCCGTGGTTATTCTTAGTAGACAGGCCTGCCACAGTCCTCATTGATGCGCCCGTCCTCGCTAGAGTAATAAAAACGAGGGGCAACTCAGACTTCGAACCTGGACTTGGTAGCATACCGGCTCGGCTCACACGGAGAGCGTAGAATATGCGTGTGAATAATCTTTCCCTTCAGAGTGCTCGGTAGAGTTTAGTCAGGTGGGATGGATTAGGCGCCGCGCCAAACCAGTTTTTTTACCAGTTGTAAAGCGAGCAAGCGACAAGTATGCATTGCATCGTTCGTATGTCGCTTTTCACCAGTAGTCGTTTACCTGCTCCAACGACACTGAAGAACCGGTTCGTTACCGCGGCAAACCGTCGACCCCTCCATCTGCGGCGAACAAAGATTTGTTCGCGGCCAAGTCAGTCGCAGCTCTCCTCCCGGACAAAACTCGGACAAACTTCTGCCTCACTTGTCCTTCATTTCAGGTACACGGCGTCTATTTTCTTCGTTTTGCCGTATGCAGCCCGTTAACTAATGAGGACGATATCAAATTCGCATTCAATATATGCAAAGAACTACTAGCGAATCTTAATCTTAATAACACTTTGCCTCAGAATAAATCTAATTAAAAATTGGATCCCTATGTTTGTACGAGCAAAAGGCATGACTGTACGACCAACCATAAATACGATTTTTGACTCGAAGTGTGAACTTCTAAGCGCCAAGAACATACATGGGATGAATATCGTAAACCACAAGCCAAAAATCAACCAATTATTCCGGAATCAGCATCTCGATTATATCTTGCTTGTTTATCAAACAACATACACATTGCGCGATAAATGAATATGCGGTACTCACAGCCGCTGCGCCTTCCTTATTGGAGCGCTCCTCTTCACCCTATCAGAGCGAGAGACGCACCAATGAGGAAGGTACCAGTGATAGTGAGTCTCCGCCCATCAGTTATCGTGTTAGATATGTGGCTGTAAAGAATAGTTGTTAGCAAGTATGCATACACCACGAAGGGTAAAGACCGAGACATCTATTAGTGAACACCAATACAATCATACTGAAAATCTATCTGTCTGCACTGCATGCATTTTGACGAACTTTAAACAGAGATCATATATAAGTAACTTATAAAAGATAACACATATGTTGTCATAAACAATAGAACAATCCTGCATGAAGTTGAAATACGACATTTCGAGCCAATCAATACCTTCGTCTGCGGTCACCCTAAATCGATCGATTAATGAACGTGATAGTTATCTGAGAAAAACTCTTGGGTCAAGCTAAGAATTGTAGGTACCACGAAACCTATTTAGAATGAGGGAAAATAGATGGACCGCAAATCGGGTTTCGTGCGCAGCAATCTTCATCCTCGTATGGTATATACGAAGAACTGCGTGGATATTACCGGAGAATGGAAGCGCATAGGCAGCGTATACTCGCTCGAAAGCATTGGCATAGGATGCCTGTTTTACATCTTATCCAAGGCCAGAGGACATTATTATTATTACTTTCCCGGAGAGGTAATATTACCCCAATAGCGCAGCCGCCTTTACGTTCAAATGAAGTATGTTGCCACGCCCCCTCCATCTTCGAGATATGGGTTATAAACAGCGCCGTCAAGGTGATGGTGTGAGCAGGGGCGTGCACAGCATACATACCTAGAACTTAAATAATACAACGTGGAAAAGTCACGGTAAATCTACAGAACTAACTAAGTCTTCTCAGCTGTTGCCGGCCACAACAGTGGATTTCTAATTTACATCGCAATTCTCACTCCCTGATCGCGTGCAGGTCGTAGGCATATGAAAAAGTAGCAATTGACTCCAAAAGTCTTGCTCAAGCAAGGCACCAAGTTCGATTGCAGTCACTGGGATTAGCGGCACAACCCCCACCCCTTCTTATGATGAATGAAGATACTTGGTTAAAAGCGTCTCTTCCTCTTCCTTGTCGCCTTGATAGGAGGGACTCGTCAGTTACAAACCGACGAGTCCCTCCTATCAAGACGACGAGGAGGAAGAGACCAATGACGAAAGCGCAGTGTTCAAAAAGCGACTCCGCCCATATCACCAGTATGATAGGTGCAAATCAAAAAAGTGGTAGTTTCACTGTAACAGACCCCAAAACGTGCCCTAACTGATGTAGACTTACCCTTAAATCGTTGAGACAAGTCATGCATACACGTGGTCGATTCGTATGATCAAATGGACAGCTGGATTTGTTGCAGGTGATATCATATCGACACATGCCATGAGAATAGATACATTTAGCACCGGGACAATTTGGAAAATTCCTGAAAGAAACCGTTTCAGTATGAAATCCGAGGCTGATTGACTGGAGGGGAGAGAATTTCAACGACTTCTTGCACAAAGTTAGATCCTGAAAAAGATGACGACTTTGCCCACGCCTAAAAGGAGCAGAGAGCTCCAGTGTGGGTAAACCAGTGTCAAATACGGTAAATCTCTTCAGATGACGTATAGCTTGGTCCTAAAAAGAAACCCTCTTAAAGACACATGGTACGCTCAAACACATTGAGGGTGTATGAGACTATCAGCCCCCCAGCTGTCGATGTGTCGTGGTCCCCCGCCCAAAACTGCACGGGGCCGTGGGAAAGTCGTAATTCCTTGCTACACCGCCCATTTCGCAAACTCACGTTTATGCTAACACCATCCGCGCGGCGCGGTCGCGTGCAGCTCTCTTGGCTTTTTGCCAAGTCCTGTAATTGCGCTTTGGAATACAAGTACAACGCAATTTCTTTATGCGGATAACATTTTAGCTGCAAAATAAGAACCGAAGATGATGACGAGGGCTAGAACTCAAGAGCAACTGTGGTGCTTCTGCAATATCCCTCAGAGGCCGCGCATTCCCACAGAACATGACAATAACGACAATAAATGTAATTTCCTACGCACGATTCCGTCGCTGTCACAAAACTATGGACACGGCCTTCTAAATGCATCAACATATCATAACTCGCAACGTGCACTCTTCTTACCTCGCGGCACAGGCCGTGTGGACAAGCGAATCCAAACTACCGACGAAATGCGACCGCCATCACTGTTCGACACTTTTCACTTGGACTTCTAATGTTCTACATTCGCTCTTCAATTACTGCTACTGAAAAACATTTCAAAATTCCTACGAAATTCGAACTGAAATCCTCATAACTGTCTCGTGGTGAATCCTATGACCCTTTATAGTACCGGATGCAGATCAAGAGAAGGTAGAATCAACTTTCGCGAGCTCTCAAAATACAACAAACAAGTCGCTCGCATCATAAAAATGTGAATTAATAAACATCTCTAATACCTGTAGACATTCAGCCCCTGAAATCATCCATTGGATATTTTTCAGAAGCTTATCATCCCCCGGACCGCCCAATTTTCTCGTCAACAATAATAGTCATACAACATCCACTCGATGCATGTCGAAACAGCATATGAGCCGCAAGTTTGGTGACCGAAATGGCGTACTGAAACAAATTTTCTTTTACACTAAGGAGCACAGTCAGAGAGACGCAAGTGTAAGAACAAGGGGGCAGTTGAGCGACGGGGCGACGGGGGCATGCTGCACTTTTGCTACTTCATTAGTCCCGGGTTACAAGTTTTACACTGGTGAAATCCCATGAATGTCAATCGCTAATTCGGCCTTTGGGAAGCTTTCTTGCAGTTTTTGGTGGGGATGATTAGTTCCTGTCCACGACCATCCGATCGTTGAAGAATTTGCCTCACACAATGCAGAAGCCCTTCTCTGCACAAGGTGGAGCGGTTCGCAAACGCGTAGGACGTCCCAATTTTGCGGTCCAAAAGTGTTCGATAAATGCGCCACGGCCTGACAACGACAAGTTAGCTCCGCCTCCTCGGGTTTTCTATGGCTTTTTTCTTCATTGGTATTTTCGCTTACCAGATAATCTCATGATTCTGATACCTACCTACGAAGGGGAATCGCGGGCAGTGCTTGAAAGATAAAATACGGCATAACATTTAAAAAATCACCTTATCACAGTGTGCACAGGGTATCTTCATGTCATGGGCTCGAATCTCATGTTCAGCCAATTCTTTTATTGTGTAAAAACCACGATGGCACTTCTTACATGCATATGGACACTCATCCTCGGGTAAGAAGAAACTGAAAATATCGATAAATACGATCGGACTGTAAGTTGCACATTTACGGATAGA